GGCATGGCACGGGAGTCGGGGGCCGAGGGCGTGCGCCGGGTGCTGGGCGGCCGGCTAGAGGCGGTGCTGGCGAGCCGCGGCGAGGCCAACGCCGTATTCGACATCCTGGCCGTGCTGCAGGTGGGCCGGCGGGGCGCGCTGGAGGCAGGATTGGTGGGGGTCGGCTCCGGCGAGGTGGGCCGGGCGCGCTCCGAGGCTGCGGCCTCCCGGGGAGATTCAAAGACGGGGTCGGTGGGTCAGGATAGGAGGCATGGGAGGTCACGCCGGGGTCAAGGGTGGGGGGCGATGCGGCAGCTGTCCGGTTGGGGAAAGGGGGCAGGGATGGGGGCCTGCCTGGACGGGGTCCGAGTTACCGGCTGGGCATCCTGCCTCCGGCCTCTCCTCGCAGTCCAAGGACCAGGAGGAGATCCAGGAAGCAGTCCACACGTGCAGCCGTCTTTTTGGAGCCTTGCTGGAGCGGGGAGAGCTCTTTGTGGGCCAGCTGCCCTCTGAGGATATGGTCATGGCCGGTGAGTGTCCTGGGGGGGCTCAGGGCTGCTCATTGGGCCCAGGGTCTCGTCCTCTCACAGTGAGTTGAAGAGAGGCTTAGTCAACATGGGGTGAGCGCCCCAAAACCCCATTATAGGTTTTTGCAGGTGTGCAGGCTGGCAGGAGGGCACACTAGTGGGAGGGCACACTAGTGGGGGACATGAATAATTTTGTTGGGGGCGGGTGTGTGAGATGAATATGTCTAATCAGGCTTAAATGTATGGGGAACAAGGCATAACTCTTGACATTTGTTTTGTATTTCTTTCTTTCTTTTTTTTTTTTTCCTTTTTGTCTTTTTTATTGACCGGTAACGGGATTGCAACCCTCGGTGTTGCGCCCGCACCGCGCTCAGCCAGTGAGCGGGAACCGGTCTCTACATGGGATCCGAACCCTCGGCGGGAGCGCCGCCACGCTCTCAAGCGGCGCACTCTCCAGTGCGCCACCGGGCCGGCCCTGTTTTGTATTTCTTGTGTAACTTGATGCTGTCTAATGCTGACAATAAGTGTCACTTAAACCTGGGCTATGTGTCCCAATCCTTGGGACATCCAGGTCTTGGGGTAAAGTGAGGGGATGGGGATATGGTCCCTGGGAGCAATCCCAGGGTAAGAGGTGCTTTCCCTGTTTGCAAAGCTCAGGGAATGGGCTGGTGGTCCCAACCCAGGTCTGAGGTGGGGGGAACCACGGTGACCTGTTTCCACTTGTAGAGGGCAATGGAGGATGGGGCTGGGTTCAGGACCTTGAGGTGGGCCCAGCCTGGCATATGTGGGCATCAGTGTGGGCTGACTACTGTAACCCCGTCTGCAGGGTCCCGGGGAGCCATGCGCAAGTACAGAGTGTGGATGAGACATCGCTATCACGGCTGCTGCAACCGCCTGGGGGAGCTCCTTATCCACCCCTCCTTTCAGGTCAAGGTGAGTCTTGGGGTCATTGGGTTTGTTTTCTCTCTGTCCATTCTCTGTAGCCACTTCTCCTAGGGTCTCTACAAAGCAGAGGCTCGGGGCTGTGGATGTAGGCACCTAATTCCACACTTGTCTGGGTAAGGATGTTTCCTCCCTTTGGCTGATTTTCTGGTGGGCAGCCTTGTTCTGTCTCCTGACTCATAGGAGAGTCATCTTGTGAGTATTCAGGTGTTTTTTGTTTTATTTTTAAAGATGACTGGTAAGGGGATTTTTAACTCTTGATTTGGGGTTGCCAGCACCACACTCTCCCATGAGGGCTAACTGGCCATCCCTATATAGGGATCCAAACCTGTGGCCTTGGCGTGATCAGCACCGCACTCTCCAATGGGCGAGTGAGCCACGGGCTGGCCCTGCGAGTATTTAGGTCTTAAGTGTAGAAATGTGGCTATCCTGTGCCCATCTAGCCTGCAGATGCATTTGCCTAACAGCTTTTCTGAGATATAATTCGTATGTTGTTCAGCTCTCCACTGAAAGCATAAAACAGCATTTTCTACTACGTTCAAAAAGTTGTACAACCATCGCCACAATTTAATTTCAGAACATTTTCATCAGCTCCAGATGAAGTCCTATACCTGTTAGCAGTCACACCCCATATTCAATTTTGTACCCCAGCTTTGGGCAGCCAGTACCAGTAAATTACTTTCTGTCTCAGTGGGTTTGCTTTTTCTAGATGTTTCACATAAGCGGAATTATACGATCTATGTTCTTTTGTGTCTGGTTTCTTTCAGCATGACATGTTCAAGGTTTATCCATGTTGTACTGTGTGTCAGTGCTATGTTCTTTTACATGGCTAAATAACATCTCATTGTGTGGCACGGCACATTTTGTTTATCCGTTCACATGTTGATGGATATTTGGGTCGTTTCCATCTTTTGGATGTTATGAACAGTGGAGTTGTGAACACTTGTGTATAAATTTTTGTGTGAACATTTTCATTTTGCTTGGATACATCTGATGAGTGGAATTGCGGGATTATGCAGTAACTCTACATTGAACGTTTTGAGGGATTGCTAGACTGTCTTCACGGCAGCTGCACTGTTTACATTTCTACTGGCAGCACATATGAGGGTTCTGTGTTCTCTGCGTCTTTGCTAACCTGTTGATTATAGCCAAGTTACCAACTTGTAAAAGTTGGGGAGATGTCACATGAAAAACAAGTTCCTGGTTTTTCACAAGGAAATCGGTGGCTCTGTTGACACTGGGCCCACATTTGTTCACAGCAGTGGTTGGCTTGAGGGAGAATCAGGAATCCCTTTTAGACAGACACATGCTCCAGTTTGCCATAGTCCTCGCTACTCCCAGTTTCTCACACGTGTCTGTTTCACTTTATGGTGTTTCTGTTTGGGCCCTGAAGGTGTTGAGCTTGCAACCCTGGTACTGGAGCTTTTGATCCCTGCCTGTGGTGGGGGCCATGCTGGCTTCTTGTGCTGTTTTCACAAGTGTCCTCAAGGTTTGCAACATCATTCTCATGATACAGATGAGAGCAATCAAGTGGCCCAAGTGCAGATCCAGTCTGTAGACGCTCCCCAGGCCAGATCCCGTTCTGAGACCCGTACCTCGTTAACTCACGGGTGGGACGTGGAGGCTGGCGGTAGGTGGGGCAAGAGGAGGCAGCGTGGCCTTGCTCTCTGCACCTCCCAGCCAGCCCTGGGCCTTGTTGTGAGCGGTTCCCCAGCTGGGGTGAGCTCTATGGGCCTGTCTGCAGGGTGGGGGCATCACAGCCACTGTGCCCCCAATGCTTCCCAGGAGCTGGCCCTTAGCACGCTCATGAAGTTTGTGCAGCTGGAAGGAATGCACCCTCTGGAGAAGCCCAAGTGGGAAGGCAACTACCTGTTCCCCCGTGAGCTCTTCAAGGTGAGGGCTTTGGTGGGGGCTCCTGAAGGACCTTGTTGGATGGAGCCTGGGATGGGCCCCCAGCCGGGACTGCTGGATGTGATGCTCCTGCTCATTTTCCCCTGGGGGGGGGGGACCAACTGCTCAGGTGCTCCCTGGGGTGGTCCTTCGGTTGTGGGGAGGAGTTTGGGTGGGATGGCCGGCCATCTGGCGTAGGCTCGCCTGCCTGGATGCTGCCGGGACCAACTGAGCGGTGCTTGCCCCTGTCCCCACACCCAGCTGGTGGTGGGAGGCCTGCTGTCGTCTGAGGAGGACCACAGCCTGCTCCTCTCCCAGTTCCGGGAGTACCTGGAATATGACGACATCCGGTACCACACAATGCAGATGGCTGTGGACATCGTGGCCCGGGTCACCAGCCAGCACCCCAAAGTGAGCCGCTGGCTCCTGTTACTGGGATCTCCTGGTACTCCCTGGGAGGCAGTTGGGTGGTGCAGGTGTGGCGTTTGGGTGCTCAGGCCGGGCTTCAGCAGGTACCCCTCACCTTCTGGAACAATGCCTTCATGCTTCTGTCTGCCGTGAGCCTGCCCTGCCAGGAGCCTGACAGCTCCCACTTCTATGTGAAGCGCACAGGTGAGTGTCCTGGGTGCTTGGGGAGTTTCGTTGGCCCATGCCCTGGCAGGAGGGGCTATGGCACAGGTCTGGGTCCTGTCAGCCTGGCAAGCCCCCCTCCCTCCTGTGTGTTGGGTGACTCTACACCCCTCACCTTCCTTGCAGAGCTGTCAGACAAGTGGAAGGTCACTCATCTGAAGGTGAGGTGCTTCCTGGAGATGGATGGCCTTCCCTGGGGTGCAGCCTCTCCCCTCTAGATTGGCAGAACCCAGCTGGGATGTGGGTGGTGCATGTGTGTTTGTGGGTGTGGAGCCCAGTGGAGGCCCAGCTGTCACCTTCTGTCTCACCAAAGAAAGCTCCCAGGACAGGGGTGGCAGCTTGCACAGCTACCAGGGTTGTTCCCGAGTGAGTGCGAGAGGGATGGGCCTGCACACAGGGTTCCTCTGAGGTCAGAGGCCACTCGTGGGCCTCACCGGGCCTGGAGACTCTTCGTTGCCACGGTCACTCCTGTGGACAGCGATAGATGTTGCATGCTCTCTGCCCATCTGTGCCTGCGAGGTACCGTTTTCCTCTCGTCTTGCTGACGTTTCTTTCAATAGCAGTTCAGAGGCCTAGAGCTTCGAGGCCCAGCCTGGGATTCTTGAGCTCCGGGACACAAGACACTCCTGACTTAGATGTGGACAGGGAGAGGGTGGGACGTGGCCAGAGATGTGGAAGCAGCGTGTGTGGGTTCTCCTCTCCCAGGCTTGAAGGTTTGGGATGGAGAGGGCAGTGTGTGCAGCCTCGGTCCCTGTTGCAGGAGCACAGGAGAATGTTCCAGGCCATGTGGCTCAGCTTCCTCAGGCACAAGGTAGGGCCCAGCAGGGGGGAGGAGAGAGGTGGCCCAGATCTTCATGGGGGAGTGGGGGCTAGGTGGCCCAGGATTTCATGGCGGGGGTGGGGGCAGGTGGGCTAGGTCTTAATGGGAGTAGTTGGGGAGGGCAGGCAGCCCAGGACTTCTGATGGGGTGGGGCAGGCTGCACCCTGACCTACCTGCGGCCGCCCCCAGCTACCCCTTGGCCTGTACAAGAAGGTGCTTGTGATCATGCACGAGTCCATCCTACCGCACCTGGCCCAGCCCACCCTTATGATCGACTTCCTCACCAGTGCCTATGATGTGGGTGAGTGGGTGCCCAGCTGGTGGGTGGGGTTTGGCGGCCGCCAGCGCGTGGGTCCGTGAGCAGCTGGTGGTGACGGGCCCAGTTGCTCACTAAGTGCTGAGTGAAGCTCATTGCCTCAAGTGTGGCCTCAGCAGTGGCCCAGTGGTGCCATCCCCCTGTGTGGTCTCTAGCTTTGTCCGTGGAGGCTGCTCCCATTGCTGCCCCTTCCCAGCCAGTGTGCAGGGGGGAGAGGACAGTGGGGGTGGGCACCTGCCAGACAGCAATGCCCCGTGGACTCCTGCCCAGTGTGGGGTGGGGGCTTGGCAGCCACAGACCCTGGGAGTAGGGGCGCTACTCAGGCCAGGGCTCCCTATCTTTGTGTGTCTGCAGGCGGCGCCGTCAGCCTCTTAGCATTGAATGGACTCTTCGTCTTGATCCATGAGCACAACCTGTGAGTGTCCCCCTGGGGACACTGGTAGTACTGGCCTGTCCAGTACTCCTAGCCTTGCCCTGTCTGTCCTTCCTGTCTCTTCCTTGCCCCAGGTGGAGGTGCCTGCTCTGCTCATAGGTCAGGATGTTGAGGGAGCCCACTGGGCCTGCCCAGGGGAAGTTTGGGCTGAAGAGGAGGGATGGGAGGAGGGGGGCCGGGTCTGTCCCAGCACGCCATCCCCCCACACCCAGGGAGTACCCTGACTTCTACCGGAAGCTCTACGGCCTCCTGGACCCATCCATCTTCCATGTCAAGTACCGAGCCCGGTTTTTCCACCTGGCTGACCTCTTCTTGTCATCTTCGTGAGTGTCAGGGAACCACCTAGCTTGGCCTTAGAGCAGCTGCGGGGCCCAGGGCTGCCTGGAGCTGGGTACAAGGGATCCAGTTGGTTGGGGAGTTAAGGGATGGCCTATGGAGCCATACGGTCTCATGCCACACTTCCCTGTCTAGCCATCTCCCTGCCTACCTGGTGGCTGCCTTCGCCAAGCGCCTGTCACGCCTGGCCCTGACAGCGCCCCCCGAGGCCCTGCTCATGGTCCTGCCCTTCATCTGCAACCTACTGCGCAGACACCCTGCTTGCCGGGTCCTCACGCACCGCCCGCAAGGCCCTGGTGAGTGTGGTAGGCAGACAAAAGCTGAGCCAGAGTCAGGCGGGGACACCTGGCGTGGGCCCTCCCCAGCTCCTGTGGCCCAGGGCCTGGTCCCAGAGACTAGACAGCAGTGACAGCCTGGATCTTGTCCCTAGAGCTGGACGTTGACCCCTACGACCCCGAAGAGGAGGACCCTGCTAAGAGCCGGGCCCTGGAGAGCTCCCTGTGGGAGCTGCGGGTGAGTGTGCTGGGACCTCCCAACCTGTCCTGGGCCCCCATGTGAGCCCGTCCCCCCATCTGGCCACACCAGAAAGCTTTCCCAACCCCCCACAGACCTGCATAGCTGGGGCCCCATGGTGTCCTGCTTCCTTGGAGCTCTTCCCCATAAGAAGCTGCCTCTGTCCCTGAGTCTGTCCCTAGTGTGGCATCCCTCTGCCCAGGGTTCCACGCTCCCCCCACCTGTGGTTAGGTACATACCTGCATCGTGGTGGCTGATGGTTCCATGTCTCTCCCAGACCCTCCAGCAGCACTACCACCCTGAGGTGTCCAGAGCTGCCAGTGCCATCAACCAGGTGCTATCCATGCCTGAGGTCAGCATTGCGCCACTATTGGAGCTCACTGCATACGAGGTGAGGGACGTGGGGCGTGGGGAAGCTGGAGCCGTGGGGGCCACATAGAGTGGACTGAGAGCTGCCATCTGTCATTTACAGATCTTCGAGTGGGACCTGAAGAAGAAAAAGCCTGAGCCAGTGCCACTGGAGTTCATCCCAGTCCAGGGCCTGCTAGGCCGGAGGGAGGACCTCTGTTCCCAGTACTTCACGCTCTGCTGACCCCGGCTCCCTTCTACTCCAGCAAATATATGGTTTTCCGGGAGAGTGTTTCCAGGTGGATATGGGCCTGGGAGGGCCTGGGCTGCTTTGTGGGGGCTGTGCCTGAAGCACCGGAATTTGCAGCTCTGCTGGGCTGGAAGGCGCCCGACTACAGGGCGGGGAGGTGCTGTCCAGATCTCTGTCTGCCAGGGGAGCGTTGAGGTGGGGGGAGCCTAAACACCACCCTGAGCTTGTGTTGGTGGTTGTGGCTTCTGCCCTGGGGGCTCTGGACAGCTGTGTCACAGGTGTGCTGGGCCAGGCACATCCCCCCTTCCGGCCGCTGCGTCAGATCCTCTCAGGCCAATGACCTGGTGTCCCCACTGGTGCAGCATCACAGGGCCTTTTCTGCTGCAGTTGGACTTGTCTGTGAAGTGACAGGAGGGGCTTTCTCTGCCCTGGTTGGGTGTGGTGGGGAGGGCTGGGTGTGTGCATCCTGCCCTGGCTGAGCCCCCAGCAGGAAGCTTTTGTTCCAGGAACCACCTGAGGTCCCAGGTTTGCGGTGGCCTCACGTAGAGTTCCAGGGGCAAATGTCCGGCCTCATCGGAGGGAGTCACTCTGAACCATTCACACCTGCTGAGGCTGGCCCGTTCAATGGGCAGCAGGGAGCTGACAGCCTTGTCCTATGGCAATGTGCTCATCTCCAGGGTCCCCGTGTACTACCCACAGTAGGGACCCCACGTTTCCATGTTTTAAACTTCCTTTGTTCAAGGTTGGAGGAGGGAGCAAGTGGTACCAGAACATGTGGGTTTGTCAGGGCCTTGCCGAGGGTGCAGGAGGGGTGAATGCTGGGACAGCTGGCATCGCTTCTGCTGCCTAAGGGAAGAGGGAGAAACTTGAGCTGCTCTCTGGGGCCTGCCTCTTGGGCAGCCTCCTGTCCAGGCAAAGTTCCTTGCACATGTCCTCTCCCCTATACATCCACCCCAGAGGAATGCAGGCACCATTTCGGTGACCTTGGTCTTGGGGGAGCTGCTGCATTGGCTGAGACTCAACCGAGGGACCTGCGTGTGTGCTGAGCTGCACTGCTCACCCCTTGGTACAAGCTGGTCCTGCCACGGGGTCCTTGCACCAGTCACATGTGCTGCCTCTGCATCTTTCCCTCGGTTGTCCCATCATTCAGGCCCCAGTTTGAACGTGGGCACTGTTTACAGTTGTGCACATGGCACATGCCACAGAAATCCCTTCACCTTCATGACACCCCCATCTAAGCTGCGTCTTGCTCTCCTTCGTGCTCCATCCCATCCTTGGCCCCATGAGCAATGGGGCTGCACAGGGGGAGACAGGAGGGGCTCATGCATGTCTGTGGACCCTTGATGGCTAGGGGCCCTGGGTGTGAGACTGGGTAGGCAGGGCTGGTGTCCTGAGCTCCCGTGGCCACCAGGGGCCGCTGCAGCCTCACTTGAGCCTCTGGGGACTCTGGGATGAAGTGCTGATCAGGGCAATGCATCAACCTGGGTGTGAGACTGGGTAGGCAGGGCTGGTGTCCTGAGCTCCCGTGGCCACCAGGGGCCACTGCAGCCTCACTTGAGCCTCTGGGGACTCTGGGATGAAGTGCTGATCAGGGCAATGCATCAGATTTTCCTGAGAAATACTAGTAAGAAAAAGTATTTACAAATCATGAAACACTTGGAATGTTGTCAGTATGTGGTTTCCTTGATTTTGTCTGAGTTTAGCATCATGTGTCCATTCACAGGAGACTTTCTCACTGGGCACAGATTCACAGACCCCTGCTCCACCCAGACATTCCCGCCCTGGCCAGCACCAACACTCCAGAGCCGGGTGCTGGGCAGGGCAAGGGCAGTGACATCCAGTAGAGGTAGGTAGAGATGGTCCTTCTAGAGAGAACGACAACTAGCCCAGACAGCATGCCTGTGGCACATTGATGTTGGGCAGGGTTTGCTCCATTATCTCTAGTCTCAGTGTCCCCCTCCGGGAATGGGTTGTCACACCCCCCCTAAGGTGGCTGTGAGGTTGGCTGACTGAGTGATGCTCCTAGCCTGGCCCTGCACAGGATTCTTCACACAGGGTAGGCACATCCTCCGGGGAGTCCCAGGTGTGGCTCCTGGGGCCAGTCTGGGGAGGTATCACACCACCGGGTGCACACGGCCAGGCTCTGCAGCTATTTCCTCTCTGGACTTGGGCCACAGCCACACTTCCCGACGTCATTGAAGTCTTAGGCTGGGCCGTGTGACCGTCGCAAGATCGGGGGTGGAACGGGGCTGCGAGGAGTGAAAGGCCCCTTGCAGGAGTCATGCACTGTTGGGTCACAGTGCCCAGAACTGGCCACTTAGTGCTGTGGGTTTGTGCTCCCCCAAAAGAAAAGCTAGACTCCCAACCCCCAAGACCTCAGAATGGGATGTCACTTGGAGGCAGTCGAGTTAAAGTGAGATTATCAAGGGGAGGGTCATGATCCAGTGCAGCTGGTGTCATCCAGGTAAAGGAAGATTTGGACAGACACAGAGAATGATGTGGGGACAAAGATGGTCGTCCACAGGCTGAGGGGAGAGGCCTCAGAAGGAGCCAACTGTGCTGACCTCACACCTCAGACTGCAGCCTCCACAGCTGGGGTGACAAACCTCTGTTGCTTGAGCCACCCAGTTTGTGATACTGTGCTGCAGCTGATGCTCTCAGGTCCAGGATGGAGGCAGGGACTCACGTCCAGATAGACACTAGGCACTAGGCCTGTATCTCATCCACCCCAACCCGGCTGGGGTGCTCCCGTCCTTCAGGGCTTCACTCACAGGTTCGCAGGTCACCATCTAAGTATGTTCTGGTAGAAGCGATGAAACAGCTCAAGCAGGCTGAAGTGGAGGAGCTTCACTGGCAGGGGTCACAAGAGCTTCAGGCATAGCTGGATCCAGGCACCAGAGCCCTCCAACTCGTTCTCCATCACTCAGCTCTGTCTTCAGATGAGGTACCTTGGAGCCTGCTCTTGTAGGAGTGTAGGGTCAGCCTGGCTTTGCTGGGGCTGCACTAGTGGTAGGGAGCTCAACAGGGATGGAGGGGAAGTGGGGAGGTGTAAAGACTGGCAGGCATTGGACTCCCCAACCCAAACTTCCACAGGAGCAGGCAGATGACACAAGCAAGTGAACCGGGTTAACCCTGGGGGTACAAAAGAGTGGGGTGACTGCAGCAAACCGGAGTTCTGCTGAACAGGGCCACCACCCACCTGGCAGCAGCTCCTGACATAGCCCCGGGGGAGCAGGTGCCTGGGGCAAAGGCTGCAGCTGAGAGGCCTTGGAGACATGTCCACATCACTGGCCTGCTGGCTTGTGTCATGGATGGATGTTCCTGACCTCTGGGTGCATGTGCTGGGGCTAGGGCAGGCCAAGGCATTCCAGTGTGAACTTTATGGTTGTCAGGCCACTGCGCTGTGACGAGGACCAGCCCAGGAGGATGCCACAGGCCTGTAGGCACGCCCTTGGGGGGCCTGGACTCAAGGCGAAAGGCCTGGGTGGCCTGCCCACAGAGCCCCACCACCCTAGTGGGGCCATCCCCCCAGCCCCGTCCTCTGCAGATGGATGCTGCCTCCTCGCAGGGCCTAATGGAGCCGAGTGGTCCAAGAGAAGCCAGGCCTCTGTAGGGACCTCCTGGTTCACAGGACTCTGATGACATTTTGTGGTGGAGAGAGGGGCACCTTGGGGATGGACACAGGTGTCGGGGGCTCCCTGGGCCTCATCCTGCTCTTGTCTAGCCCCATCTCTGCTCTCTACCCCTCCTCAGGGCCCCTCCCCACCCCACCTCCATCCCTGCTCCTCAAGCAGCTCTGCTGGTGGCCTTCCATCTTCCGTCCTTTGGGAGGCTACCACGACAACCTTGGGCACATCTATTAGAGCCAGGGCCTGGCTGGCTTGGAGGCACCTGGTCCAGGACAGATGAAGGCTCAGACTTGTGTGTGCTCTGGACCCACCCGGGGTCTGACTGAAAGTGCAGATTCAGGCACAGCAGGTCTGGGGTGGAGCCTGGGATTCTGCATTTCCAAAAGCCCATGGTGATGTCGATGCTGCTGGCACCGGAGCAGGTGGTCACAGTGTTGGGGAGGCCTATGCAGTGGTCCTCCCCGTCTGCTTGTTGGGGTAGCACTGCCATCAGGCTGAGGACCTCTGCAAGGCCCCTCTCTGCCTCCTGCCTCCCAAGCCTGTGGCTGCAGCAGCCCCAGGGCCTCTATGCTGCTGCTTCCTCTCCTGGAACACCTCCCAGGTCTCTTTGCGGTGCCCCTTCTCCCACAGATCTTGTCCCCAGCAGGCACCATTCCCTCCCCAGCCACCCTCTGTCACATTGTCTTGTTATAGTCCTTACTAATGGGACGTGGTATTCAGTCTTTGTTTAGTGATCCCAGCCCTGTCTGTGTCCCCAGGACAGCGCCAGCTCCATGAGGACGGGAGGGGGAAGAATTCGGTGGGTGGAAATTTACAAAGAGGAACTTGGTCAGTTGTCAAAGGTGGGAGGCTGAGGCGAAGGCCTAGTTGGAGAGGAGGCTCCCTCCGCCAGCCTTGGCCCCTCTTGGCCCTCAGGCCGGATGCCCCAGGCAGGAGGGAGTGGGGTTTGGGTCACAGTGAGGAGGCCCTTCTTCACCCCGGGGAGCCCCATGGGAGACCCCACATTTCCCAGAGATCAGGAATGTCAGCAGCTCCTGCAGAATGAAGGACTTCGGAATGAGTAAGACGCCTCCAGGGAAAAGGCAAAGAGTGATTCCAGCCTCTCCCACGGCCCACAGCCATCTCCAGGTCAGTGGGGGACTTCTGGCTCAGTTTGAGGGTATTTCAGAGGGTCTTAAACAATACTGGCCTTGAATGTTTACCAACAGCCCTGGATGGGCCCCAGAGGCCTATGGCTCCCTGGCGGGCCCGGGAGGTGGAGCTGCCCCTTTCTGGTTGCACCTGCCTTCTTTTGGCAGCTTCACCCCCACAGTGCTCTCTTGAGCAAGAGAGTGAAATAGTGATTTTCTTTTGCATAAACCAACTGCCTTTTCTCTAATTAAAACACAGTTCCAGTTTTATTTATTTA